AAAATAAAAAAGAGTTAAATTAAGTTAAACTAAATAAATCAAAATTAAAGAAATAAAACTTTAATTAAAAATAAATAAAAATTTAAATGAATCGAATACAATAAAATTAAATTAAAGTACAACAAAAAGTTCTTAATTAGAAAAATTATATATAAGTAAAAGATTATCAAAATGGATTAAACAGACTTCTTTTTCATACAAAAGTGAGTATTTTGCTTCCACAACTTGCCATATGCTTAACCAAAATTAATTTGTTTATATTGCATTTTTCAATTATATCGAAGATATGTATATGTATACCAAGATGTTTAAAATTTAAATAAAATGTAATGTCTTTGAATACATAAGTTTTCCAAAAATAACTGAAAACGTAGAAATTAATTAAGTTGTCATCGTTTTTGATACACTTGTATTAATTTATAAAAGGAAAGTATGTTTTATACGAACTTCTGGTTGTTTTAGGACAAACATAGTGGTATAACTATGCATTAAATGTTAGTACGTAATGTTTGAATATATGAATGTATATTGGAATGAATAGAATAGTGGTATTGAAGGGATCTATGGAATTGTAATGGTTCAATTTACTGCCAAATTAAATGAAAGAATTTTGACAAGACAAGTGAAAATCAATTTTGCAACTAACAGTTATCTTCTGAATGCTTGAATATATATTGTGTGTATTTGTAAAGCATGTTCAAGTGAATATACACGCACAAACATACATATATTCTAGTTAGCTCGTATGTTCTGTCTGCGCCAAGAAGCTTGGCAAAATGTATTCACCATAAATTCCCGCAACTCCCACAATCCTCGGAAGCTATTCTGTATTCAAGAATCTTCTGAGAGCGTATAAATTTTCTGTATATAAATATGTGTGGTAGTAAATATGTATGTCTCTATAAAATCTCTATTTGTGTTTGTCATTTTCTAAACGCCTTACAATTATTTGATTTCATCATCATGTTACAACAACAGTTACAGCAAAACCAACTTCAATTCACAAATCACCATGACCGACAACAACAAGAAGCTACAAATGTATATGTGGGTGTAATATACCAAATGAATGCCAAGTCACAGTAATCTATTTTGAATATTTAGTTTTCAAAGAAAACTTACACATGCGAGTACAAATACATATGTACGCATTACATAATATTTATGTATGGACCTATGCTATATATTTGGTTGTTACTATGCAGATAAAGGTTTGGATCTGAGTGACTTTTTAGATAGTTAAATCAAATCACATCACTAACAGAAAACATGAAATGAAAGCAGCCTTGGACTTATATATGCCTGTTAGACCAGAAATAATATATAAGTAAGCTGTACATACATACTTATGGATGCATATAAAACACCCCCCGAGATCTAATAATAATTCTTTGAATTCTGTGCTTTGTCCTGTGGCTATGCTCTTTTGTTAATCAGATATATCAGCTCAATTTTTTCACAATAGAAAATTTACGAACTGAAATAAATATAAAAAGTTAGTAATTGTTTAAAAATATATCCCTGAAAAGGTACAAAAGGCAAGAAACCTAAATATGCCATATACAATATTTTGTTTAATTTTATTTTATTAATTTTTTAAATTTATTTCTTTATTATTTTTAAACGGCATTTGTTATTAAACGAAAGATTTTGATTGTTTTATGTATGACTTAATGATTGAAAAGCCTATTTGTTTTTATCGAATTGTACATTTTATTATATTTTTGGTTTTCACTACAACTGCCCATCAGACTTATTCGGGCAAGGATTGAACCAATGAATCCTAACTTAACATGAGAGTACTCTACGACTGAGGCGTCAGCCTCATTATCAATCTTAAAGGCATGTTCAGCGAGTCTTAGTAATCCTGTATATCTTCAGGCGTTAATTGACTATTGTCTATATTAATTGCACATTTTAAAATAAGTTCTGCTAATAACTTTAAATACTTTTATCTTTTATTATCCTTATGACTAGGGAAGTGTAAAGTATGATGGCGTGTACTTTGTTTTTTGTCCCTCTCTAAAAAAAATTAATATTTTTCAAAATCTGAAAAACAGGCAGTTGCAGACCCTATTTTTACCTAAATTCGAATCGAATGAATTTTTATAGCTTCTGGCGTAGTTGCAATTGGGACATAAGAAGTAGCTGGTGAATGTTTTAACGCAAATGGTATGAACACATCGACCGCAAGTGTCACATATTTCTGAATTGTTGGGTTGAGCACAAGAGGCATTAGTTCCAGGTATGGAATACAGAAATGTCGATCAACATCTGCTTTATTCAGCGCTGCTTTTTTTTTTTTTTGAGGATTGCCGTCTTCTTTTTGATGGCATTTTCATCTTTCCAGCTGACTTTATTATTTTACTAAATCGCCCTTTGTCTTCAATGCCAAACGAATTTTTGGTACTTAATTCGGTAGCAATATAATTACGAAAAAACGTTTGGTTGAAGTTAATTTTTTTTAAAAACTTGCTTTATGTGACGGCTTGTCTCAACAATTAAAAAAAATCAGAAACTTATTTTACATGTCACAGAATATGTTATTTTTTGAAAATAGACACTACTGTGCACAAAAAATGTAATGACAATTGAATCACGTCCAAACAAATAGTCCGCCATCATAGCTAACAAGCTATTGTTGGAAATGTGATGGTGTCAATTTCATACGGTTGAATTGAAAAAAAAAAAATGTTAAATGCCAAAAAACACGCTCGATATATTATTATCTGACTAAACTTTTAAACAATCTTCACTCTAGCATATGAGATGTAACATATCAAATCACACATTTGATTTTTTCCACTACTTTTTGATTGGGAAACTTTTAAAGTACAAATATAACATCCGCTGATTACTACTAGTGTATATAAAATGTCATCACGATAAAAAAACGCTGGTAACATTGAAAATGCAAATCAGACTTGTCGTTACACCTAACTAATCCTTTTCTTCATATTTCCATTAATTTCCAGTTCACAGCATGAGCACGAATATCATCAAATCTCTGTAACAGAACGCAAATAATATTATACAAAAATATTTTTTCGGACATAATTGATGTATTCTTAAGCGTTCCACCGGCTCTGTTCGTGTTATTCACTAACGAGTTATAACATATTAAGAGACTTTATTTTATGCCGATAATGTAAACTTTTAAATCATATACCTCAATTATCGAAAGGTGTTTTGTATAAAGCCGATTTAAATAATATGGTGATTTGGTGAAATAAGAGTTATATGCCACTTACTCTTAACAAATGAGAAATTATGTTATTGTATTAACACGCAAATATCTTCAATAAATATATTAAATATAAACCTAAGAGACGATATCATGTTATCGAAATGAAATAAAATTTTTAATGTTGAAACCGCTCAAACCTATAGTTCTTTTAACTAGCTGCTTTCCATGATTTAACACCACACATCTATTAGAATCCTTAACATTATCTGTTAACGATTTAAGGGGTGACATAGGTCTATTTTTTTTTTAAATACTAAATAAAGTATACAATTTATTTTATTTATATATAAAAGTACACTATTTGGACAACATTTGATGAAAAATAATATAAGTTAAGACGTTGGCAGTGTCGTGAAGTAGACTGTCCACAAGAAAGTGCTTTCGCGGTAGTCATGATAACCTTTTCCATTTTTATCTGAAATCGAAAATCCATAATATTTCTTAAGGTAAGTGAATTTTCTTTGTCTCTGAACGAAAAGAAATTAAAAAAAAATAAAAATTGATTCTTTTGTAGCGTTTTTTACAAAATTGTAATTTTTTGCATAAACTAGGCCACATGTCAGCCTAAAGATAAAATAAATTTTTCGTTCAGGGACTATAAAATTATGCTTTAAAGAAGTGTGGAAAATTTAAACTCGATCGCTTCAATAGTTGTTGAGAAATTTCGACTAGCGATTTTGACAAAGTGGCTTTAAGAAAAACGCGCTTAAAGTTTCGCCATAGGTCAGGACGGCAGGTCATAAAAATCTCTAATTTCTACAGTTTTGTCTCAATAGACCTGAAACTCTGGGAAAGTATTTCTGACGCCTTGTAATTTTTTCCAAAAAATTATTAAAAAAATGAATTTTTTGAAGTTTCAAAACCTACGTAACACCTGAAGAGTAACAACAGCATAATAACATTATCTGTTAACGACTTAACATTAATGACAGTTTTTCGTTTCGGGTAAAAATAAAATGAAATTTAACAGATTCGACGTTAACATTTCCAAATGTTATTAAAGTGTGAAGCATTTTATGTTGTTCACTGCAAACCTGTAAATCTACCCACTCTTTCTAGCCGTACAGAAATGCTAGGATAAATTTTTTTAGTAAAACTTTTTAGTGAACTGATTTACATATCATTTTTCTCAGTTGACGTAATATTTTTATTCTTTATTTGAGCATTTCAAGGCTGATAAAATCTTGGACAATTGGCAAATGTATATCAAACATTTCTTCATTGATACTATTCCAGTACATTTGATTTGACCGACTTATATTTAATAACGAAAAATTCCATATTAACCTCTCTTAGCAAGTAAATCACTAAATTTCTATGGTAGCATAATTATTATAATATTCTAGCTGATGATTTTTTTTGTCAGTGACTGAATAGTTTTAAATTTCGACGTTTCACAAACTCTTGCTTTTCATGACTCAGCAAATTCTGCACGTCCTCGTGTCGTTTGGACAGGAGGAGGGTGACTAATGCAGTTATTCAGACAACTACGTATTTGAATATCCGGTGGGCATTTGAGACAATGTGATTTGGTGAATATTTAATTATATTTGCATAATTAAACTCTCAGTACTTTTTATTAAATTTCCTTCGACATATCCCGAGCAGCTGGCAATTTTTTTCGCCTCATAAAAACATTTTGACAATATGTGTGAGTTTATAAATTTTGCGTAGTATCATAGTACACAAAAGCTGTTAAATAATATATTTATGTATATTTATTTATATAAAATATGTAGATCTGAGCACTTACCAATTCGCGCCTGTGTATTTACAATCAACAGCGGCAGAGTAAGAAGCGTCATGTGAAGGGTGTGGATAAATGGCCAAATGCAGTTTTTCGCCGCCATTTTATTCATATTTAATTACACAATATGTTGTTGTTATTATTGTTTTGGAGTTATTTGTCGACTACAATTGCACCGGAAGTGTAAATATTTTGGAGTTTTTTTATATTATTTTCGGAAATATTATTATATACGCACATACATATAAACACAATTTATTCATTCAACTGCATATTGGGATTTACTGTTAAACGCAGGCGAATTGCATATTTTAATATTTTTAAATAATGTTTTGAATATTTTATAAAAAAACAATGTACATTTTTATGTATATGTGCGCGTGTTTCATACATTTATGTCCGAATGAAGCTGAGACTTACAAGTGGTGACACCGCAGGCTTCAAAGGCGATTTAAATATGGATTTTACCTTTTGCAATTGCCACATTTCTCTGCTTTTCATTGTTTACATATGTACACATATATATTTCAATTTCTATTTTTTTATGCAAATAAGCTATTGGCTTGTATATTTTATTTATTTGTTTAACTTTTTTTGTTATTTATATGTAAGTCACGTGTTGCTGGTTCATACAGCACTTAAGCATCTGAAATAAAAAATTAAAATAAATCGTATTAAACTAAAAGTAACATAAGACATATTCGGCGTACTGGCCAGTATGTAAATATTTATTTGTATTATGTATTTACTTTGCGTTGCGATAAATACAAGTGATTGTGAAATAAGGAAAGTTTAGATAAATAATTTTCATTTCACTTTTCTAGTATAAGTAAATGAACTAAATAAAATTTGCCGAAGTATTCATCTCGAAATCCAAAGTTGAGTATATCTAAGGTACCAGAGCTCTAATAAGCAAATTTGTAATTGTAAAAATTTAGAGTCTAAATACCCAAAAATATATTATTTGTATATAATTTATAAAATGTGCGTCTAGGAGTTTTAATATATTAAATAAATTCAAACAATAGCTTTCGAAATTTTTTATCGTTTCTATTTTACGTGTCATTCATTTGTATTATTTTCTTGTAATACCTGCTCACTATAGTGAAAGCATATATAAACACATATGTATGTATCTATAAAGCAGTTTGCTATGCTATGTTCATATTTGTATGTCTAATCGTCATGGGTAACAGTAATATTTTTTTGCACATGTTACGATTTCTTGCAATAAATGTAAGTAAAAATTTGTGATGCTGATGATGTTTTTCACTTTTTCACATTTACTGTCATAAAAATCTGTTACTTTCGCTTTTGACATGGTGGATTATTGTAAATGTTTGTTTTAGCATTGGTTTTGATCCAGTTAAGAGTATATATATTTTTTCAACCAAATAAATCAGATCCTTTCAAAAAAATTTATATTCAAATTCATTTACATCGAAAACAACTAGTTGTGTTTGAGTTTAAACCAATATTTTCACAGAAATTTAAAATCTTAAATTCTGCGGTTTTGTCTTTTTTATGGCCGTTAATTTCCTAACAACATTCTGTTTTTATTTTGCGTTTTATTTATTTCGTTTAAATATATTTACTTTCATTTAACTTTTAATCTCATGTTACTTTATTTAGTTTGCTTTATTTTATTTTACTTCATACTCGATTTAATTTAAATGTATAATATAATATCTTTTTTTGTTCTGTTTATGTGTATATCAAGTAGAATGGATCCGTTTTATTTTATTTTATTTCAGTTTTTTTAATTCAATATATATTTACTTTACTTCATTTTAATTTATTTGACATTACATGCATTCATTTTATTTTATTTTGCTTTATTTTATTTAACCTTATTTTATTTCGTTTTATTTTATTTTGATTAACTTTAGTTTTTTTATTTACTATAATTGTATTTAATTTAATTTAATTTTTTTTTCATTTTCTTTTATTTTAAATTATTTTATTTTGTGTTACTTCATTTTTTTGACTTAATTTTATTTTTTTATTTTTATATTAACTTAAATTGAGTAGATTTATTACCTATTGAATTTATTTAATTAAACTTATTTTGGCTTAATTTAATTTTGTAAAATTTCGTTTCATTTTATATTATGTTATTTTATTTTAATTTATTTTTTTGGTTTATTTTATTTAATTTTTAATTTAAAAATCAACTAAACTTTTTGTTTATTTCTTTTGTTTTATTTTTTTCTGTTTTATTTTATTTTGTTTCACTTCATTTCATTTCATTTTACTCTTTTGATGTTTTATTTAACATTATTTTATTTGGTTTGGTTTAGTTTGTTTTATTTTGTTTACTTTTTATGTTTTATATTATTTAAATTTTTTTTTAATTTTTGTTATTTATTTTTATGATTTCCCTGTTTGTAAAATTTTTTTGTTTTAGTTGATTACATTTTGTTTTACTTTATTACTTTTTTCATATTAATTTATTTAGTTGAATTTAATTTAACTTTTTTATTTTATTTTGTTTTATATTAATTTAATAGTTTTGAAATACTTTATATTATTTGAACTTATTTTTATTTTAATTTTCATTTAAGATTTTTTAAGTTATTTAATTTTATTTTAATCTATTTTATTTTGTTTTATTATTTTACTCTATTTTTTGTTATTTTACTTTGTTATGATTTTAATATTAATTTTATTTTATTCCACTTCCCCCCAAAAAATTACTTTGGTTAAGTTTAAATTTATTGTAAATTAACCAATTTCATTTAGTTTTTTCTTATTTTATTGTATTTAATTCTGTTTTGCTTTTTATTTATTTAAGTTATTTTCTCATTTGTTGTATATTATTTTGTGAAATTTATTGAACTTTATTGTTTTATGATATTAATTTTCTTTTATATTTTTTTATTTTATTTTTTTTTTCAGTATATATTTGTTTAACTTATTTGATCTTAATAAATTAAGTTTGTTTTAGGTTATTATTATTTTTTTTGTAGTTTGTCTTATTTACTTTTTCGCATATTTATTTTGTTATATTTATTTGGTTTTGCTAATTATATTTTACTTTTTTGTCATTTCTTCAATTTAATTAATTTTTTTTATTTATTAATTTCGTTCATTTCTTATATTATTTATTTTGTGTTTTTTATTAAGTTTTAAAATTTTTTTCTGTATTTTTTTAAAAAAATTTATTTTGTTTTAAATCAAAGTTTTTCATCAATTTTCATTGTTTTCTTTGGTATGTTTTTGCATCAAGGCACGGAAACAATACGTTCCTTTTGACCTTTTAATTTTTGCTCCACTTAGTTTTTTCTGTTATTCAATTGGGATTCGCTGTATCATGTCAGTCCTAAGTTTTTTCAGAAGCAGAACAAATCAAACCGGCTCAGGAGCAAAAGCGTGCGAATACTTGGAAAAATCACATCTGTTCTCTCTGTCAGGGGGCACTTTGTCCTGGTTATGTTGCCACATCAGCTAAATGGTTTCCGTGACCACATAACTTTTCTGCAACAACAATGAGAACAAGAAAAAAAGTAGTACAATTCTGACTTGTTACCAATAATAGCAAGCCGTATTTGAAGTATTGACAGGAAAAGGAAAACTCGAAAGAAAAATTCTTTGATGCATGCTCAGAGTTTAAACATCCAAACAGTGCACACACAAATACTTATAAGTGTACGAGTATATTGTACAATATAATGGTATATGTTTATATGCTCACACGTGGCATTTAATTCTGTGATTTTCTTTTGTTGTTAGTAGCTTTTGATTTTTTTTCAACTTACTTTTATTTGTTTTTCGTGTAGTTCTTGGCTTTTTAATTTATTTTCTTTAATATTTGATTTGTTCGTTGCTTTCGTTTGCAGCTCTCATTTCCTAAGTTTTGCTGTTTTGATCAGATTCTGGAAACGTTTACTTAGCGCACTTTCTTTTCTACACTTTTTTATTTTGATTTTAACTTTATTTTTATTTCTTACTCTTGTGTGTTTTTATTTTCCAGCTCTTTTAACAGCCGCATTGCGCCATGCCAACAACTTCAGATTCAACTTCTCGTTTTCGTGTTCAAGCTGCGTCCGCTGTTGCTGCTCACATCCAATAAATTCTTCCGGTTACTAGCAATCGGACATTTTGACCAACTAATTACGAACAGCAACTCTTGACGCAAACGTCTTGTGCACCTGAAAGTAGTTGCGGAAAGAAGAAAAGGAAAACCATTGCAATTAGACAAATGGTGTAGATGAATTTATCTAGATGTAAAAAGGAGTGCAAATATCGCATATAAGGTTTTGCTTTGCTTTTGTTTAATTAAATTTATTGGAAGTTCTTTAATTTTCCAATTGATTCTGAAGATGAAACAAATAAAAATTTTTATTACTTAAGGTTCATAAATAAAAATTTCTGATAAACTCTCAAAATTTACCATCTTTTTGATTACCGTATAAAGGCTATCAAAGATTGAATATTTTTATGCTGTCTTTAGGAGCAAAAGCTTAAGCTACAATTTTAATGAGAGAAAATATACCGTGGCTTTGAGAAAAGGGGGCTAGAATAAATTGTTTTACAATATCGCTGAACCCCAATGGTAGGTTTCATGGTAAGCCTTCGACGTGGAATAATCTCTGAAAAATCACAGTTGGGTTACGTTAGGTCTATTTCGGCTTTGTCGCGTAGATTTTCGAGTTCTCTTAACATCAGTGTATTTATTTTTCGTCGTCATTAAACGGGTTAGAGAATATCTTTCTCATGGACTTAAAATCCTCTGTCTCCGTACTTACTTCAGTAGTAAGTAGTGAATTTTTTCGTAAAATATTAGTGCGATCCTACTACTCGCATATTTTTCAAAGCGATTTGCTCGTATTTAGAGCTTCATCATGGGAGTTGAACATTGCTACTCTAAAAATGGGTGTTATTATCATTCTAGTGGTTAGACAATACCGGTTCAAAGCAGACAAAGCCGAACTCTTACGTGATATGTGGAGAGGGGGTATGATTAAGTAAGGGTTAAGTCTATTGCAGGTCTTGGCTTCGTCAGCATTGTTCGGCCGATTCTATTTCATTGCTGCTGTAATCGATTTTATATATATAACTCACTCGTTGAATGTATAAAAAATTAATAATGGAATATCTTTCATCATGACTCTATTTACTCAAAACATGGGGAATACAAAATTTTTTGTTTTACCATTGACATTGGTTCACTTCCCCGAAAGAGGTCTAGTCCGACGTTTGAATAGGCAAGTTCCCGGTACATTTCCCGCAGAGAGGAGAAGTCTTCCTGTTAATTTAAGAAAAAGGCTACCTATTTACCGAATTTCAAGCGAATCAACCCACGAATAAACTTTTTTCGAATAGGCCAGTCCCCGGTCCACTTCCCGAAACTTTTTTCTTGTAAATAATCTGATCAAATTTCAAATCATTCGGTTGGAAGTTAATGGATTTTTGCTTGCGGACATAAGATTTTTATATATAAGAATGGTGCTTAGTAAGCGTTAAAGCGATTTTCAGACGAGCTTAACCACAAGTTCGTGGCATGAAACTGAATATTTTCCTACAAATGGACGGACCTTGATTTCATGTCAGCATTACACTCCAAGAACTGACATTGCATGGCGAGAGGCGGCCGCGATTACAAAACTTAATTTTATATTATTATAATATTATTTTAGAGTATGGATGATCCCTGAATATCAGTACGTGATGTTAACCTCTCGGCTGTTGCGACCAAAGGCCACCATTACCATTAAAATGTGCTCATTGCTCCTCATCAACAAGTGCAAATGTATTACTTACAGGAAAAGCTCCTTTAGCTGATTAAAAACTATGGATTTAAATTTTTGAACTCTTCATTGCCTTGCTGAAGTTTGAAATAACCTTTTTTGCCAATTGCCCTTTAACAATTTAATTTGTTAAATAACGTAAAATAGTTTCCTTTTTTATGTTCTCCTCAATTATATTACAAACCTCTTTGGAAAACTGTGAAATTTTGTTTTGTGCTTATTTTCTATAATTTTATTTCCTTTTTTGCTTTCTTCGCTCGTGTAATTCCGTATCTCCTTTATTTGTCTTCACCTTTTTTCGTATATTTTCTTTCCACCTTTCTCTTTATAAGGAAATAAAAATATTTATTTTACGTTCCTTTTGTCCTTGTACAAATGACTATTTCCAACTTTTGTGTGTTTTCAGTAGATATTCTTTTCTTCTTTATTGCCCAAGAATGATAGTTGTGCTGTATTTGTTGTTGTTGATATATGTTATAATATTTTTGTTATTCTTCCCTTTCAACCATCTGTTCATTATAATTGATTTCTCAGTTTAACCTTCTATAAGGGAAGTCGAATTGACCTATATCAACAGCAGCAACAAAAACAATACTTTCCCTAAGTGGAGTGTAGAGAGATTAACAATTGTTTCCAGTCTCACTATACACACCTTTGGAGTCGAACACACACGCTCATATACTTAATGTATCTAGGTGTTATTTTTGTTTTGGTAATAGCCGTTGACGCTACTTCCGTCGGTTGAGAGTATAAGCTGGCGGTAACGACGGTCACATACAGTGAGCAACGGCTCATCACTTGTGTCATTTCAATGTTTATTTGTTTTCTCTTTTTTCGTGATAATAACGGTAATGATACAACAACAATAACAATGGTGTTTTAGAAAAACAGCGTCAATGGTCAAACGTGCGAAGAAAATAACTTTTTATTTGCTTACGATTTTTATTCCTTTTATTTTTACTATCAACACACAAATGCCTCTGCGATCTAGGCTCTGGAGAATTTACAAAGAGGTTGGAGGTTGTTTGGTAAGGAACTTGGGTGTTTGACGCATGTTTATGCTATATAAATAAAGTTCTAAAATCCCTATTACTTTTATTCGTATTTTGGGAAATTATGAAGGCTAAAAAACGAGCCGTTACTTTTTATGTTACGAGAAATTTCATTTCGAATTATAGGCGGTAAGCTGTTTGGCTGTCTTAACAATAAAGCAATTTGTCTTTTTTGGATTTGGTATTTCACTTTTTTCTTTGGATTTAATAGAAGTTGGTTTCCTTGAACTTTTTGTATAGCTGAACGCGTGTCATAAATATATTGACCCGCGCCAGGCAATGACAAAGCCAAAACGCACAAGCATTTTCTTAAGTTAAATTGACAGATGTAAATATGTGTGCATTACACTTTCTGGAATTCAGATAATTGATATTTAAATTATTTATATTCCAATTTTTTGAAACAAACCGAAAAGTAACTTTTGTTTCCGATATTATTCCAATTCAATGAGTTCTTGGTATTCAAAAGTTGAAAAATTTATTATTTTGGAGTGTTTAATTCCATACATTTTGTTTTAATTGCGTTTCTGGGCGCACATCGCTGGTAGTGGTGTAACGGTAAATAATAATTTGTTTTTAAAAAGTAATAGTATACGTGTATATAATTAAATATCATTTATTATGCAATAATTGGCATAGGCACAATATTAAACTTTTTGTAAAGTTCCCTCATATGGCTTTATCCATTTCGTGGTTTCTAAAATACAGGGCTATACTATGATATATGTCAAAGTCAGGTATTTATGAAAATGTATCGCTTAACAGCTGTACAACGCATTGAAATTGTTGAGACATACTACAAAAATGGTGAATCAAGTGTGGCCAAAATTCTAAAATTTTAAGTATTTCATCTGACTGCATCAATTACAAATATTGTAAAGCCTGTGCACCATGGTTTTGATCGAATATATCAATTTCCGGACATTCTCAGGTTTGGGTCTTTCTTACGGTGCAATATGCCGAATTTCGTACTTGGACTTACACCTACATGCATTCAAAGTCCAGCTCACACAACAACTCATGACAGCTGAACATTCACAACGCCGTACATACGTCGATTGGGTGCATGAACAACAAGCAGTGAACGGCGATTTGTCGAACAAAATTTTCTCAGGCAACGAGATACATTTCTCTCTCGATGGATATGTAAGAACCAAAATGGACGCATCTAGGACTCCGATAATACTTAAATTATTTGAAGGGAGACCACTACACCCAAACAATTTGCTGTCTGAAGAGACTGTTAAAGAATATGACTTGAACAAAATCTAACTTCAACAAGATGGTGCCACATGTCACTCAATACGAGCTAATATGGCTTCATTGCGAAAGAAATTTCCCGGCTACGTGATCTCTTGCCTGGACGCTGTCAATTAGATGCCAAGATCCTGTGATTTGACAATATATGCACATTATTTGCCAAAAAGTGGCCTAAATTACCTCAAACGCATCTGGTTTGCAAGAACTCGCTAGGCGGTCACTTCAATGAAGTTTTTCATGTTTAAAGATGCAATATTTATAACAAAATAGAAATTTCATGAAAAAAAATTATTTTAAATGCATTTTATTTACGTCATTAATCGAAATTCATCTAAAATATGGCATACAAACTGTTGAGACCTTTTCCTTGTACACGCAGAATTAGAAATATTCATGCTAATGTAGAAATCCAAATTATTACTGCAAAAATGTATTTATTTAAGAAAAGAAGAATGTATACAAAAATTTTAGTTGATCTTTTTTTGTTTGATCTAAGCACTTACAACGTTTATAGGAAAATGGTAATTGATTATTAGCAAGTCGCAGCAAATTAAGGCGAACGACAATAGGCGGCGAGTTCTCCAAATGAGCAAAGTTGTATGCAACATTCGTCATAAATGCCTCGAAATGTTGCCGCATTGTCACTACGTTGACGACGTTTCATTGTCAGCATATTACTATGCATTTTGACAAAAAATGGACTTATTCGACCAGTCAAAGTTAGTTTAGTATCCACGACATGGTCGCCGTTGACTGGTAGAAATGGAAAAACCAGAAAACAAATGTGGAATGAATAAGTGATTAAGTAAAAGAAGAAATTAAATATGATCATTTCATTTACCATTTGCCGTGTTCTTCTCAGTGTTATCACGCTTTCGCAGGGGTGGCATTAATAAGGTGTTATAGCCGTTAATGCAGATTAAATCCAATGCATCGGAGAGTGTGTCACCACAGAACCTTTGCTTGGCAACAGCGGAGTGCAATAATAGGATGTAACACATAATTAGAGAGCAGAAAATTGTACTTTTAGGTAAATGCATTTTGTTAGCTTGTTAGCCTTTAAAAAATGTATACCTTCGCTCTAGCTGT